TTTGAATGGAATTAGTGAAATAAATCAACTTTTTGATGATATTCTAATTATATGACCAGCACCTGTATATAGGGATCAGTGGGCTGCCAATGACAGGCACCCGGGGAGCCATTAGGGGTTCAGTGTGTTGCTCAGGTACACTTCGACACATGACACGTCCCAGTCGAGGATCGAACCGTTGACCTTGCGGTTACCAGACAACCCTCTTAGAAGTACATAGAATATAAAAACATGTTAAATGTCATCATGTATAAAGGCTTTGCTTACTATAGGGTGTGCTTGTTTGTTCCTATAATGTTGGGATAGCAGTTTGGCTTAAGTATTGTCGCCCCGGTCAGACGTACCTTGAATCCAGTGTTTTAATCATTGCTCTGAGCCCGTCTTTCTCGACTGTCTGTAGCGGGACCATGTCCTTGCATAGATGGATCGTTATTGCGTTCGTAATGTCGCTCCACCCTTGCTTTTCTTGTCATATGCAGTGCTTCAAGTAAATGCCTCTACAAGCGATGTGTGACCCTTTGGCTTCACTGTTTCACTCGCGTTAACGTTACCGGTTGACGGCCATAATCACACTCTTGGTATTCCAACACGTTTTCTGCTGAGGTGATGGAGTAAGTTGCTCGTGTTACCACCAGCGTCAACAACAGTGGCTCGACAAACTTTGCATTATATAGTCTTTTGGACGTCGGACTTTTTAAAACCCAAAGACTTCCAAACAGCAGACCCAGCTCCTCTCTTGGGCTCAGACTCTATCGGTGCATCTCCGGTCTGTCTGTGTTCATCCTGCATCGCTCCTTTCTGTTCTTTAATGTAACGTTACTGTACGGAGCCTCTCCCAGCTGTTAACAGACTGTTGTGCTAGCGGGCTAGCTAGCTAGCGAGCTGTACCCAGCATGCCGTTCGGAGTTGTAATTTTATAAATGTACAATTATTAGTGTTACAAATTGTTTATTTGTCACAAACTGTTGTGTCATGGTGGTTTGCCATGTTAAAGAGTGTTAGTTGTGGGTTATTAATTGTTGTTATAAAGTTACAACCATGATTAGAGGTCCCTTTCAATACACTCTTGATAACTTGCTCCGACCATAGCGCCATTAGCGGCAAACAATATATTCTGCTGCCTGTTAACAGCAGTTGTTTCGGCTATGCACCGGTATGGCGGTATGTGAAAAATGAATATCATACGGGAAATTAAAACCGGTATACTATGCACTATGATGAGGCATTAGTGTTGACCCACAATAACCACAGTAGGTACGTATGGAATTACACCTGCTGTCGTCATTTGACGTTGTTGGTCAGCTGAGGCTCTTAAATGTACCAATGAGAGCAGTGTAAATGTCTATTGATCAGCATCCTTAGTGGGAGAGAAAGAGAGAGAACCAGTGTATGTATAGGTGTTCCACCAGACGTGCGTCTTGTTGCTGTCACACATCTGCCCCCCTCTACCCCCTTGTCTCCTCAGCTCGTCGTCACCACCCTCACAGGGTCAGCAGACGCCTTCACACGCCTGCAGGAGTGTGTCGCGTCTGTGTGACGTTAGTGTGCGAGTGCGATTATATGCGTACATGTTAATGTGTGGATGTGATTCATAAATAACTCATTATGTGAACATTATGGGAAACCAAAAAAAATGCGCCTTGCATGTCCATAACAAGAGAATCAAAGTGCAGCAGTGCCGCAGTGTATTTTGTGATGATCAGGCCACTTGTAAAGCTAGTGCCCTCTGCCCTTAATCTTTTGATTAGGCTAGAACAATGGCAATCTGGTAGTTGGGTTTATCCCATGAAATCAAAGCTGTGGGCTTAAATTTGGCCCTCTCCATTAATTACTGTCCATGTCGTGGTATTCACTGTGAAACAAAGCAGAAAAGATTAATAACGTTTGTTGTTGGATTGGCTCTAGGCTATTGTCTGTCTACAGGAAACCTGTGTGTCTGTAATGAATTATTGCAGATGACCTTTCTTATCCATCTCTCACGTCTGTATTAAGCAAGTACTGCTAACATTATACTGAGTCAGAGTGGTAAAAAGCAGAGTCCATGAAAGTCATCTGTTTAGGTGCACTTTAACTTTCTAGGGTGAACAATGTCTTCTGTTGAGTATTATCCTATTCCAAGACCACTTAAAAAAAAAGCCTCTTGCTATGTCACACTCAGTGACACTCATGGCCCTTGACACAGAGTTACGGGTCAGAACTCCTGAGTGATTTAGGATGGGACACTACATTCCTCTGGCTGATCAACAAGGTTGATAACCAGATTCTCTGCTGGCGTAGAAGAAGATGGTTGCAACCCACTGTGGAATTACTATGCTGCACAATGCTTATCCTTTATTTGTTTTGAATACACAAACTGCACAATCCCTTTATTCAAAAAACAGTATCACACAGCTATTTAGATTGGATGATTTGTTGTGGGGATTACATGTCTTTTGCTAGCAGGAATTATGAATATTTACTTGCTGGTTAAATTGGAGTTAAATCATGCCCTGTTTCAATAAAAAAAAAAAACTGAACTGAACTCATACACAGATATGTAAACTGTAAACATCTGGATGTCATCAACATGATACCCCACAGGGACCACCAAAGGCTTTGCAGGCTGGTTTTACCTCGCCGAACCCACCGCCGTGTGTAAACAAACACCAGAGGGCATTGTGGGTAAAGAACGTCCTCCCGGAGCCTATGGCCCTCTTTAACCTCATTCCTCTCCCCGTTACCACGGTTTCACCACCACAAACCCATGGCAACCTCATTTGCATAAATCTGCATACCTCCCCGTTCCTTTACAAGCCCGTCTGTCAGACTGCTGAGCTGGCAGAGGTTGTGCTTATGTAAGCAGAGTCTAACAGCTAGCAGTTCAAATGGTAGATACAGAGAGGGTTCCTTCAATAAGTACAACCCTAACCCCTTAATTATCGGCCTCTGAAAATCCCATCTGCCATGCGGGTTCTGATGCATTCTGCAAACTGAGGCTTCTTCCAGTCCAGTGAAAATAACCTTTTCCTTCCAGTGACATCATCTAGTGGTTTCATTACCGTTTACAATTACATGAATAATAACCGCCTCAGATTTCATGAAAATCCAAATCTATGAGAAAGGTAACGCAGGCCAGACTCATCTCATGGCTCTGCTATTTAATCCAAGTGTTGACCTCTTGCTCTGGTGTTTCTTTTGACTATGTCAAACAAACCTGTGACCACATGCTCGCAATCCGGAAAATGACTCGGTTAAAGAACAGTAAGAGTAACCCCCTACAAAATACATAACTGTGGAATCTGCAAGAGGACAACGCTCTCAAATGAAACAGAGAGACAAAAACCCATCCATCCACTGGTGTCATCTGGAGCTTTACCGACTATTAACGGAGCACTGATGGATAAAACGGATCTCCGAAAGGGCTATTAGCACAGTAATTGCCACAAAGAGAAAGAGATCTTACGTAAGAGCTGTCCACATAGACAGCCCAACCGCGGCTAGAATCGGATTGATGTTGGACCGGAGTTCCATAGCCTTTGACTTGCCCCGACAACAGCATTTTGAGATGTGGTGAAACTAAGCGAAGGCGACAGCGCTTATACTCCGCAGTCGTCTGCAAAGAGGCCATTAGAAAGCAAACAGGAGAATGAGGAGAATGAGAGTGAGACGTTCATGCAGTAGACACTGCAGACACAAAAAGGCATAATAACCAAGCAGACTAGCGTTAGCGCAGACCCAGGGCCAGAATGCAGCTTCATCCAGGTCTCCACTACAGAACTCATCATCCATGCACTGAATTTTAGACAGATTTTTCAACTTGAAAAGTGACCAATGTATTTGTATGTCAGTCAAAGACATCCTCATCCTCTTTGCAGGGTAGAACTGTCTGAAACATATCCAAATGGGCACGCACACACACAGGCTATTTTTAACCCACCCCCCAATAAAATAGAAGCTTGTAAGAAGTTGCAGCAGTAAAATAACATTTTAATCTTCTAAACGTCTGCACACACACACTCCCTTTCCCCGACTACGGCAAGATGCCTAGCAGTAAACCTTACAAGTCCTGACAAGCAGACTTGACAAGCAAACTGCCTTTATGGCTCTGTGGCTGCATCCAGAACAAGGCTTCTTGACTTGTCTTCTGTTTCATCGGAGCTGCCAAGTGTTGCCAAGGTGTCTGATTGTGTCTAATCACTTCTAGCTTAACCTGGAGCACAATGCACCATCCAAAATGTTCTCTTTGTCTGTTCACAGCTCCCACCTCCCACCTTTACTTTCATACCTAATTCATCAATTGACAGAAAAATAAAAATAGAAAATTCACTTAAAGGAGCAAAATACCACAATCTGAGCATTAATATAGCAGCAAACAGCTATCATCCATGTAAAGATGTAGAGCAGAGAATCCCTCTGTGTGTTGTTATCAGAGCTTCACCGCTCTTTGTTCATGTGCTTGTAGTGCATGCGAGCGTGCTCCTGGTGGCTGCTCTGCACTGCTCTCATACGGCGGTTACAGCTGATAAGACCGTCTTGACCAACAGCGAAGCGTAGCACCCACCCTCCAATTCCTTCTCAGGTAAACACTGTTAGCCCTGTCAGCATGTTTGTCGTAGTTTATACTGTTAGCGCTGTCAGCTATGAATCGCCAGCTAAGGTGCTACCATGTTGCGAGCCGAAAGAAATGCTCCCAATCTCGTATCTTGCACCTTAAATTGTTAAATGCAATTTGCAATTAAAACCAAGATACGGAAAACACGAACGGAATCGTCAAATTTGATCCTGAAAATGGAATCAACTGTAAAATTCAGAATATCATGGTATTGGCCAAAATGTGGACGCAATTTATAAAAATCTCTCAAAAGGATGAAATGTTTTGTTTTATGAATGTATTGAAGCATTTTCTTTGATTGAAAAATGTTGCAATTTTAAGTTACATGAAACGCATTGAAATTCATTACATTATGAATATTTTCTTATTGAATTGTTGAAATTCTATTCATCCACCACATGACACCGATGACAAAATGTGCTTAAATCGTAATACACAAAACTCAGAAAAATGTAAACGATAAACACAGAGTTTTGGAAAAACTAACGTAATCTGGAAGAATTATGGAAACGTAAACAGATTTCCGATGGCCCTATGAATGTGTGAGAGCTCCACAAAGTATACGATCAATAAAACAACTCAACTTAACAGCTCCAATCCTGATAGGGATTAATCACACAAGTAAACATTTAATTGAAGCTAATGAATGGCTTCATCAAGCAGCGTTGTTACACAGATCAACCCTTTTTTCACCCTCGGGGCAATAATGACATTTATTACTGCTGCTGCTGCTCTCAAAGCAGTTTAAAATAAAAACATTTGATAGGATGTTGGTTTATGTGGATTATGCGTTGTATATATCCAGTGGCGCAGTACATAGGGAGAGTTGTACATGTCAATATACATGCTGCTGTTGTAAGGGTCCCGATTCCATAACTAACATTGCAACACTAAAAGTACTCCATCCTTTTAATAGGCCTAAACCCATCTCTGACTTTATAGCCATTAGGTTTATTAGTGTAACACACACACACACACACACCTCATCAAGCAGTAATTTCATTATACAGGACCTCCCTGACACCCCATCATCTGGTCGTTATGTCACGCTTTCTCACTTCATGATGCATGGCTATCATTTACACAGCAGGGTGGTTAAACAGGCGCTTTGGTGTGTATCATCCTCTGCCCGTCTCATCAATCCAACAGCTCCCGTTGGAATGTTTTTAGAGTCTGTGTCTCATAAACTAAATGAAACACGTGTTCCCAAACTACAAAATAAGAATGTTTGTGATAAGGAAAGTACAGCTGTGGCTGAAGCTGATATTCTGCCACTGGATTCCAAAGCCACTGAAATGTAGGAGAATAAATATGTTATTATTGGCTAATGGATGAATAGTTTAAAAGACAGGGACGCTGGGAGTGGCCAATGCTCAAAAATGTACACTTTTTTTTTTTTACTGTTCATTTTTGTGTCCTTTTCTGTGAAGCCGTTTGTCTCCTAAAAGTCACCCAGCACACCTCCATTACATCAGTGACCTTTACAGCCACACTGAAAAGGCAGCAGATGAGTCAGCTGCAACAGCAAGACTACCTTTAGCCGGGTCAGACGCTGCTCGGCCTCCATTGTCTGCTGCGGAGCCAGCTGTCCTCTGGGAGCTGCTGTGTCAGCTCACATTAGCTGGGAGTGACACAGATCAGAGCAAGCCGGTGGTGACCAGGTGGTCAACCACTCAATGGAAGTCACTAACAGACCCACGGTGACAGTTAATCACCAACAGAAACAGCCATGGATGAAGGCTGTTCATACACTCCCTGGAGATTTTAAACAATACCAACACTAAAATATATATATGGCTTCATAAAAATGATTGTGAAATGTTATGAGAGGAAGGCTTGCCAGAAACTACATCAATGCTAACTAACCAAGCCTTTGTGAGCCTCTTTACAAATGGTTTATCAGACCTCTAATCAGTTAATGTAAAATCTCCAGATTAGCAAACAGGAACATATGCTAGCTCTTTGTCCTCGACGTCAATCTCTTGCTTCTCTTGCCTGAAAATTCTACTTCCTTCATTGTTTTAAACTCCCACATTCAATAGACACACGTTAGGCTGGTTTACAGTCACCAGCCTGTCTGTCAGCACTGTGGCAACCTGTCCAGGTTTTCACCGCCTTTCACCCAATGTGTGTGCTGGGAAAGGTCTCAGCTTCCTGCCACCCGGTGCAGCATCAAATCAGGTAGAGATGGATGGCTTTTTGATTTTGTTGCATGTGTTTGATGCCAGCACAGTGACCAAAGGAAAGATGCAGTGGCATATACTGATATTCATCTGCTTCACTAGCCCACAATTTGGCCTCATTTATGCATGACAAACTTTACTCTTACAATACTGCTACAACACTGACACGTGTAGATGATGTCATGTTATTTGCAGAGTAAAAACATTTTCCTCTTTCACATGTGGACTCCCATGAGGCAGTTCAGCAACAGGGCAGCTCCGACGCCTGACTTACTGTTGTGTAAGTCAGGCGTCGGAGCTGCTAAACGACTTTATTACGACACAATAAAATTCCCCAGAAATTCAAAGGCAAGGCAACGTCCCACCCTAGAGCTATTAACCTCTACAGCCTTGCAATAATCCTAATCTCACATTCAATACATCAAACGAAAAACCATAAGTCATAGCAAAACTATGAATGAGTCAGTTTTGCAACACATCTAATCAGTTGGAAACACTCAAAGTTGAATCATTGTGAAACACATTTAACGGTCAAATGAAGGTGTATGAAAGCACAGCCTCAGAGATTTGATAGAGATGCGTTAGTTGGATTGGTTCTGCTGACTGCAATGTTGGAAGGGGATGTATGGTATGTGTGCCTGTGTTCTACTATTACAATCTATCATGTAAAAAGTAGACCCAAACTGTCAGCACTGAGAAGATTAATTCCAAGAAAACTTTTAGTTCTCTGGTTTTGAGTATTTGATAGATAAGTGTCAATTATTAAAGTAAAAAGACTCCTTTACAATCCTTCAATAAATTATTTGTGTAGTCACAAGGCTTGTGGGGAAAACAATTACAATTTCACTTGGAGAGTAAAAAGTCAAAATGTAAAGCACAGCGATAGCAGCTGTTTGAGTAGAGATAAACCGGATGCCTCTGTTGAAATATTTACTTCTCTGAAAATAGAAAGTATGAAAAGTCGGTGGCAAATCTTAATTCATTGCTCAGGAGTGTGCAGTGATATTTCTGGCCTTTTCTGAGTTGTTTTTTTATCCCCCTAACCTTCCGCTGCAGCTGGTATGAGTGCCGTCTTCCTTTTTGCTCCTTCTGTTTACCTCATCTATGCTTCTTTCACCTTCGTTCTCACTCTCATGTGATCTTGTTTCTTCCCTCCTTAAATCTTCTCCCAAAACCCTCCATAACTCCCAACCATCATACATTTCTCCTAATCCCATCTCTCCCTCTTCCACATTTTTTCAGATTCCCCTTCTCCTCAGTCATCTGCTGAAGGCCACTGATGTGGTTCCTCGAAAACCTCAGTCAGCCGTTCCACCGTTGGGTGAACCGCACGGCCACGACTGTGGTAAATAGGATATCGACAGGAATCAGTTCAGCTTTCATACTATTTTTAGGATTCTCTCATTCAACAGTCAACTATTAACATAAACCGCTCGCATTGTTCCACACATAAATAGTGCACCATATGTGGCATGAGGCTGTAGAATTACCAAGCACATGGCGACAGGCTCCCTCTTCCTACTTTTTCATTTGCTGTTTGTTTTATAGTGCACGGGCTGACTACAAGAAGACTCTTCAGGTATACAATCTTCATTTGTCCCTGAGGGAGCACAGAGTTAAAGCCACCAAGGAAATTCCTGGATCTAGATGCATTCCTCTGAGACAAGATTGAACTTGTTTAGAAGTCTCTCGATCAAAAAGAATACAACTTGACAGAGGAAATGGATCAAAAATAGGGTGAGAGATCTACAGTAGAAAGGCGCAAAGCTAAAGGAGGCGCCACGGTGTAGAGAATTATGGGGTGTGAAGCACACCCCATAATACTGAATAAAAGGCCAAAGTATCCTAGCAACAAGCACAAATAGAGGCTGCTTGCTCTGCAGTGTCCTCCGTTGCTCCTGGATCTTCAACCTTGCATCTTTCATTTAGAGGTTCTCCTCAACAACTCTCGAGTAGAACCCCCCCGCTCCCACCATGAATCCCTCTACTTCCTGTTTGGACACCATGTTGCACCCTAATAAGGGAAGTTCCATTAAGTGTGCATGCCAATTAACAATATTAAGGTTTAAGACAGTGCTGGGTTCATAGAGTGCATATCATACGCAGGGCTACGTGCCATGAATTTAAGATAGTGGTGGGTAGACAAACGGCGCTCTTCCAATCCTTTCAGAGGAGAAGCCCTCCTCGGACGCACTACAACATCAATGGTTTAATCGCCTTACATCTTTTGTTGACTGAAAGGAGAGAATATGTGGGAGATACACTGTAAAACCAACCTCCTGAAGTCCCTCTTGGCTGGCCTTGTTACTCAACTAATATGCTGCCATTGAGATCAAAAGTGGGGATGGAAGCTACAGAGACAGCCACAGGTCCAAGTGGAATCAGTTTGAGTTTTAGACTTACAAAGCGATGACATCTTTGGAAAGTGAGGACATTTTGGAAGGTTCTCACTTTGGGACAGACCTTCAAAGGCCTGTTTGGGGATTCAGACATGGTTTCAAGATTTAAGTTAAAACGAAGTTTAGGTTAGGGTTAGGTAAGGATTAGGTAAGGATATTGTATTGTGATGGTTAAGGGGCTAGGGAATGCATTTTGTCAATGAGGGTCCTCACAAAGATAGAAGTACAAGGTTGTGTGTGAGAGGCGCTGCGTGGGTGGGTTCATTGAGTTCACTTATCTGTCTAACATTTGTAGGTATCAGAGCTTATTATAATGCTACAGTACAGCAGCCCGGGATACCATTTTAAAGTTATATCTAACTCAATAACCTTTTGCACTCCGTAACTGTCACCTGTAAAAAATCTCATGAGCTTTCGAGTTGTTATATAAATACATTTAAGTATGGAATTTGCAACTATTTTGCTTTCAGGTATGAGAGGAGTTTGTTTGTCATAATGCGTTTAATTCAAATTGTGTTTTTAGGAAGCCACATTCTGATAATGATGTGCTTACAGTGCCTTATGGAGGAACACTTAAAGTGTCCACCAGTCTTTGTTGCCTTGCCTCCTGATTCAAAATGTGCTGATGCCGAACTCTCCCAAAAACAGCAGCAGAGGAGCGGAGCAGTGGGAGATCAGAGGAGGCCACAGTGCTGGAGAGGAGAAACGGGCCGACTATAATTGACTGTCAGAAGTGTCATCTCCTCTCAGCGTGTGAGTGAGAGTTTGACGTATGCTCTGTGATGCCCCTCTGAAGAGTAATAACCACCTCCATTTGCCTCCTCTGACACCTTCAGCTCTATATGGAGAAAGAAATGGCCGTCCTGACAGAAAGCAACTGCAACAGAAACAGCAGAGGGGACTCTTCCCTCCATCCCCCATCAAAGCACCCTTAAACCAAAGTCTCTATATCACCACTTCCTTTCCATCCTCCATCTATCAATCTCTAGAGCCAAGCAGCTGGTGGAGTTAGAGGATTGGAGGGAGACCCAGGAACATCTCCAGTGTTTTAGATAATCATGTGGACATTCCTGATGGTTGTTCCACCAACATTAATACCTCCAATACCATGATATACATGCAAACAGATGAAAGGATAAAATGCATTTGGAGTTGTACCTCCAACTCTCATCCATCAAGGCTGCCAGTCATTGATTTAGCCAGACAAACTCCTTCTGTGAGCCCGCATTTTCCTATGATCATCACCTTTCCCCTAAGCGCTTTATGATAGTGTGGAATCGAGGGCTCTATCCTTGGCTGAGTTCAAATAAATAATGACTTACCTTTATAATCTGAGGCCCAGTAGAGTGGGGGTGGTCTTAAGTTTCTGATGGAATTTCAGGAGCCATCAGATTCTCGCAGAGTATTTGTCAAGAGCAGAACAACTGGGATGCATCCTTTCTGAATACATATTTAATGTGTGAGGGAATATTGATGATGTATTCACTGCAGAAGGTTTTCAAAGCTGGTCTTTGACCTCCCCCATGTGACTCACCCACTTCTCATCTGTCAAATGTCCTCTTTATACAGTTTACCTAATAAAGCACAAGGGAACTGAGTGTTACATTTGTGAAAACATGAAGAGTTATTTATGTGACTGGTGTGGCTCTAGTGTTTGCTTCGTTAGCGTATCTTGATTCATGTCAACATTGCAACTCTGATAAAAGTATTATGGGTTCCCAAAACATCAACAGCATCTCTTAGGCTGTACTTAGGCACAACGGTGATTTGAACTAAATGCTAACCTCAGCATGCTAATATGTTTGGTAGGTAATGTTTATCTTGTTAACTACCTTAGTTTATCATTTAAGCATGCTAACATTTGCTAATCAGCACTCAATACAAATTTGAGGCCGATGGTAATATGATTAGCTCTGCAGGTATTTGGTCATAAACCAAAGTATTTTGAACATTTAATTTCGACCTGATGGCACTATATGAAAAGGGGTCACCCAAGTATTTACAATTCATCCTGAGGGAGACATAAATGTCTGATCCAAATTTCATGGCAATCCATCAAGTAGCTGGAGAGACATTTTACTCAAGACCACAAATGTGAACCTCATGACGGCACTAGATGAAAAGTCAAGGCTCGAGTTAGTAAGGAATCATCATCATTATCTGGGAAGAATGAATGTCTGTGCCAAATATTGTGCCAATCCATCTGGTAGATGTTAAGATATTAACACAGGTTAAGGGAAAATTTGATGATGCTGAAACTCCCGTGTGGACGGAGATCGTTTCTATTTGACAACTCTGCTTCCAAGTAGAAACGGAGTAGTATGGATGTAGCCTTAAGAGCAAAACAACAGGTAAGGACATGTTTGAAGCTGTGTCGGATGCAATTGACAAGATGGGACAAGCTGTGTGGAGTTATAACAGAGAGGGCTCCAGCTATGAAAGGCGAGCGCAAGAGAGCGGAGGTGAGGCTATTAAAATGCAGCGTATCACCCACCAAGAAGCCCTCTGTGCTAAGACAGTCCAGCTGGGCGATGTGATGAACTCGGTTGTGAAAACTGTCAACATAATTCGAGCACGAGGGCACAACTACGCAACTTCAATGTTGCGCACTTCCCCACGCAGTCCGAAGTCAAATGTGCTTTTCCAAAAGCCAACCTTTCTGCTGAAAAGGGTAAATACGTGTCCGTGATAACGTCTCTCATGACAGAACTCAGTCAGTGCTTACAACAGTGGCGGCTGGTCAATAGAGGGCGATAGGGCGCCGAGCCACAACAAATAAAATAAAATTAATAATAATAATAATAATAATAATAATAATAATAATAATAATAATAAACTATACAAATTGTCAATATTTGTGTTTTTAAAATATGGAATCACCCAGTAATATGTGTAAAATATGATATCTGCGGTAAATATATGCTTTTCCTGCACTTCCTCTCCGCGTGTGCACGTCTCAGCAGCTCTGGGGCGCTGGAGAAACTGCCCAAAAGAGGCGGGTCAATGAAGCAGTTTAGCCAATTGCTGGTTAAAGATATAAATGTGTGACATACAATTTAGCCAATCAGCATCCTCAAATAGATTCAGCTTGGGGCAGAATCGATTCTGCTCCAAGCTGCGCGTTCCCGTCCGGACGAGTCTCTACAGGCGGACGCGAGCGCCAGCGCGAGCACTGCTCCTCCAAGAGCCGTGTGAGAGGAGAACTTTGAGGAGAAACTGCAGTGAAATAGCTGATATCAGATCAGCCTGACCTCACAATCAGACAGCAGACTAGCAGGAAAGGGAAGCAGTACATGCAAAGCTTCTCTAGCTGTAAATAAGATGTCCTGACGTGTTTATCAAAGTGTTATTTACTGCTTTTTTGATGTTGGAATAAATGTTAAATATTTAACTGCAAAGTAGTAATACGTGTTTGATACCTTAATTTCTTTTGCATTAAATCATTCTGGGATGTTTTCTGACATTGATTGGATGCGGCACAGCCCTACCCAGAACATGTTCCACCAGCCGCCACTGGCTTTCAATATTTTTCTCTCATTGAGAAAGACATCGAGCTGTTCTCAACTCCCTTCTTCTTGAATGATGAGTCTGTTCGGCTCAACATACGTGAGCAAACATTTCTCTGTTAAATCTGAACAAAAGCACATTGAGAACCAAATTTGATTGATTTTGCTCACTTTAACACACTAGGGGTGATGCGATATATCGGACCTGAGTGGCCCAGCCCTTGGTATATTTTTCTGTATGTGGCCCTCAGTGAAAAAAGTTTGGACACCCCTGTCCTATGGGGACCACAAATGTCTGCACAAAAATCCACAGAAACGCAGGAAAGGGTGATACCATCAGTGTGGCCAATAGCAAAGGGAAAGGTTATCTGGTAAAGGCAACATACGGTCCCATTTTTGATCAAAATGACTAGACATACGACACTTTGTCTTTCATGAACTGTGTATCTGTTTTCTAATTTTGCTACGTAAAGAGATACTTTTATGTAAGCCACCCATCAACTCTTCTAAAAATTCAGAGAGACATATTGGAAACTACTTATTTTCATCGTTAAGTTGACCACTGTAACACAAGACTTTAATTTACCGCTCACATGTTCCCTATCCAATTAAGTTTTAATACATTTAGAAAACAAAGAAAGCACACCCACACAATCCATCTATCAAGTCCCAATCCCATTTGATTGATCTCTTGTCATCCAAATCTTTCAACACCACCATCCAGGCTCCAAGCAACAAGAACAAGTGGGGAGAGAAGTCTGTCTCAAGGCCCATCCCAAACCAAAACAGATACATGTTTTCTTAAGTAACACAGTCCAGCCTTGGCACTTACAACTGGCCTGCAAGAGGAAATTAGTCTACATAATAGCAGAGCAATGTTACCTGAAACCATCACAAAACTTCCTGAGGATGGAGCAACAATGTGGAGACTGTGCAATTCATTCCAGATGCTTCAGCCGACTCCACATGATCTCATGCCTCTGGAGGGCTCACCACACGTTTCACTTTTTTTGCAGACGCTCCAGTTTAGTCACAACTGTGGCTATGAAGACTAATCAACTGCTTCAATATTTCATTATTGCAAGAGATTCAGCTAAAAGTCAGCTAAAACATTTGCACAGATTCCAAATGAGGAGTTATGTCTCTCAAATTGAAATCTATTGAGCCACTCCATGTGGGACCCATCTGAAGTGGCCCAGTGCCCACATTTTAAGCACCAGAAAAAAAAAAACTATAACTGTTAAACTACATGCTGAAGTGAGGAGACAGCACTATCTAAATACAAGCAAGGTGAAGGTATGTGCTGACACCAATGTCACAATGTCACAGCAATGAAAAACAAAGAGCTGACAGGCAGAAAACCCAGATGAACGCCTTCTTCCTCCCAGGCCTCTAAAGGAGCTGATCTCTGTCTCTGTCTCGGAGTTGCTGACTTTTGCCAACCTGGGACTGTTCCACCGATGAAGGTCACTGGGTGTGTTGTATAGACAGAATCAAATTGCTGATAGTGAGTTTATGGTGCAATCCCCGGATGGGTTTTCGTCACTGTTCCACCTGAACCCACTCTAGCCAACTCCCCCTATTGTGTCTCTCGTTTGGATTTGACGTATAACACGGATCAATGAGGGTCGTGCCAGAATACAGTACCACTCATTTAAATCTACTTCAGTAAGTTAAGGACAGGCTGACAATGAGACAGAGGACGAGTAGAACGAGCCCTCTACAAGCTGGAATATACAGGGCAATGAATGCAGGTTAAGATATGAAGAAAGTCTATGCAGCAATATGGCTAAAGAAGTTAACCAGATACTGAGAGCTTATAATTATGTCAAACCTTCAGAATTCGAAGTTCTCTTGTGTTTTCAGTTTGCCAGCTGGTGAGTCACTTTGTCACGTGTCATGTCAAGTGTGTGAAGCTCATAGACACCAATCCTGTGAAATGTCAATTACTTTCAACATCAAGTATTCTCTCCCAAAACAGAAAGAAAATGTGTTTCCAACAGAGGTACAATTATCTGCTTCTTAAAATAACTCATGCTCCATTGAGGTTCCCACATCTCATAGTAAAGTCGGTTTACTAATAGTTCATGAGTTTGTCTTTCTTGAGTAGGTTACTTGGAAACAATGAGCACACACACACACACACACACACACACAATTCTGCACGGGTCAACCAGCATGGAGGCCCACCATGCCCAAACCATCCCCATCCCCCTTACTTCCCTCTGCTTCAGTGACTCTGAGGCTAGGCGTGGGCGCCGTCCACTCGCCCCACTGATCATTGCTGTTGCCGAGGCGACAGCCCGCTGCCCAACGATCAGAAAAGAAGGACATACATCATTTAGATCAGTGTAGACGGAGACGCGGAGAGAGATAATTGGCTGAAATGGGCTTAATCATTTAAAAAGACAACATACTGTTTGTTTGGTATGACACCACATGTAAGTCATTGAAAGATGTGAGAGAGGACTACACAAGCATAACTAAACATTTCCTGTAAAAGGCACTAGCATCCGATCTTACAGTGAGTCCATGTCTGTGTGTGCGAGGTTCAGGCTGGCTCTATAACCTCATTCTGTCGGCTATGTGCTGTGTTGATGGGAATGAGCGGACAGCGGCTCAGACAGCAGCTTTACAGGAATCCAGAGAGAAATGGATGCTGATGGAGGGGAAAGACTGGAGAAGTGAAGCGTGTTGGGTGAGGGAGGACGGGAGGTAAAAGATCAGTGAGCGACCGACCCAGAGACAAGCGCTTCCTTTCTGTCCCATCTTCCTGTTCCCTTTTCCATGCAGTAACATTCCTGCTGTGTCACTAAGAGGAGAGAGACCAACTTCCTCTTTTGTTTATTCAGGAATGTGGGATGTCCTGACAGGCTGGCTTTTCATTGACAGTACACAGCTGAGAGTTCCCCTGTGGCTCTTTCACACAACCTCTCCTGTGTGTGTGTGTGTGTGTGTGTGTGTGTGTGTGTGTGTGTGTGTGT